ACCTCTCATAAGCCGCCTTTTTCTCTTTTATCACTCCCTTTACTTAATTCCACCAATCACTCCTCTTTCCTCCTGCACCCACCCTCCTATAACCACAAACTTCTGCACCACATTCTAATACTGCATTTTTAAAACTATTCCAACCCTCTTCAACCCCCCTTCCCCTCCCAATACTCATACTTACACCAGCCCATCTTTCTGCCAATAGTTGCTTAAATGTCACCCGAACTTCCTCCACCCTTAGTTTATACACTTTCACCTCCCTCTTGCTTGTTGTTGCCATTTTCCTCTTTTCCCATCTACCTCTTACTCTAACTGTAGCTACACCTAGATAATAATCCGATATATCGGTTGCCCATCTATAAACATGTACAACCTGGAGCCTACCCATCAAACTTTTATCCACCAATAAGTAATCTTACAAACTATTCTCATTATGTGCTATATCATACCTTGTATATTTATTAATCCTCTTCTTCAAAAAATATGTATTACTTATTACCAAACCTCTTTTTACACATAGCTTAATTAAAGGCTCCCCATTTTCATTTACCCCTGGCACCCCAAATTTACCTACTACTCCCTTCACAACATTTTTGCCCACTTTAGCATTGAAATCCCCAACCACAATTACTCTCACACTTGGTTCAAAACTCCCCACGCATTCACTCAACATTTCCCAAAATCTCTCTCTCTCTCCACTACACTTCTCTCTTCCCCAGGTGCATATACGCTTACTATAACCCACTTCTCAAATACAACCTTTATTTTACTCCACATAATCCTCGAATTAATACATTTATAATCCCTCTTTTCCTGCCATAGCTTACCCTTCAACATTATTGCTACTCCTTCTTTAGCTCCAACTCTATTTGAAGCCACTGACCTAATCCCATTTATTCCTTTCCACTGAAACTCACCCAACCCCTTCAGCTTTGTTTCACTTAAAGCCAGGACATCCAGCTTCTTCTCATTCATAACATCCACAATCATCTCTTTCTTATCATTTGCACAACATCCACGCATCTTCTTATTCTTTTTAGTAATTATTACAGGAAAAGTGGTTACTAGCCTATTGTTCCCGGCATTTTAGTTGACTTTTAAACACGCATGGCTTACGAAGAAAGATTCTTTTTCCCATTTCCCCCAGGATAAAAAAAGGAAAAAATAAGAACGAGAACTATTAAGATAAAATAAAAAAAAATCAGATGAGTGGTATAAATAAACGTGTACATTTTTTAGTGTGACCTAAGAGAAAATAAAGGGAAAAGTACCTGTAATCTTGCATATTTATGAGACAGACAAAAGACACCACAATCCATCATCACGTAAAACAATTACACTCATTTGGAGGAGGGGTAGTACCTCCCTGGGGGTTTTTTCTGTCTAACCAACCTACTTAATATATATATATATATATATATTTTTTAAATAAAATATATATAAATTATAAAAATAAATATATATAATAATATATATATATATATATAAAAATAATATATATATATAAAAAATTATTTTATATATTTTATAATATTTTATATAAATAAATTTGTCCGAAAAAAAGAGAACTTGCGATCTTGGTTTAAAAGCAACGCTACTTGCCATATAGTACAAGCGAAAATTTGTGTATGCAATAATTTCGCCAAAATCATCTGAACCCTAAAGAAAAAAAATATATTTCACTGTGTTTGTTTATTTTATTAAATTATTGTAAACAAATATAAAATTTTTTATTTGGGTTAGCTAAAAAAATTTTTCTTGTTATAAAAAGGTTAGGTAAGTTTTCAAGATTTTTTTGGGCAAAATTAGAATTTTTACTTTAACTTTAATAAAAAAATATATCTTTAAACGAAAAGAAAATTTTGGGAAGGGGACTTTTTTTTTAAATGAGTTTTGCAAATTTTGACCAGTTTTACTTTTCGGCACGACTATATTTTTATATATATAATATAAATTATAAAATAAATATAATATATTTATTATATTTTTATATATATATTATATTATATAAGCCGTGCCAGACAGGTAAAACTTGTGACTTTTATTTAAATAGCAACGCTCTTCTTCCCTATAAAGAAAGGGAAAATTTTCGAAATTTAAGCCCAAAATCGCAAGTTTCCCTCCAAGGCACGACATACATTTTTTTTTCCATAAATCAGCGGAAATCGATTTGAACAAAAGAAAATTTTTTTAAATTAATTGGAAAGGTTAAATAATTTAAGTAAACAATGATATATATAGCGACTTTTCCTAAAAAAATTGTATAGTTTACAAAGATTTTGATGAGGTTTATAAGTTTAAAAAAAAAAACTTTTCAATCTGTTAAAAAATTTTGGGGGGGGGAAAAAATTAATTTTTAGGGATTCGGCCTATTTGGGAAATTCGGTTATTTAATCGACACACAACACACACACACACAAACACACACCACCCAAAACACAACACACACACCCAACACACCACACGACACACAAACGGGGCCAGGGGCTTGGACTCGCCCCTGCAACCTCAACTAGGCGGTACACACACACGCAACACGGGATAAAGGGATCACGAAGGGCAAACCCGTGACGAGTGGGGTCCCCAAAGGGGCAATCCTAGGACCCCGTGCTATTCTTGGGATATGGAATGACATGAGGAAAGGGATAGACTCAGAAGTGACCTTATTTGCAAATGAATTTAAGTTAATAGGGGAATTAAAACGGTGGGATGAAACAGGGCTACAAAGGACCGGGGAAGCGGACACATGGCCCAATGGGGTCCTAAAAAAATTCAAAACCCCACCAAAAAGCAAAACAGAAAAGGGAAGTCAAAGAAGACCGCAAGGAGTATGGGCAAGAGGCCAAAGACTGAAAACCCACTCAAGGGTAAGATCCGGAGGTGAGTATAACCCACACGTCGCCGGGAAACACACATTTAAATAAAAAACGCTGCAGCTTGTGCGCTTGGCAAACCGAGAGTACTTCCCATCCTCGAAGGAATCGTTCAGACTTAAACATTATGTACGTAAGCCCCCACTGAAGTAAACAGCACCAGTTTGGAACCCACACCCGGGCCCAAAAACGACAAGAAAAAGGGAAAAAGCAAAGGTTTGCAAAAAATCTGGTTCCAAGGGTAAGGGGAAGTCTTCAAAAAGGTTAAAGGGGAAATCGGTCTGACGACATTGGAGGAAGGAGGGGCGGGGAGAATGATAACTGCGTGGGAATGGATAAAGTTGACAGAGACAGGATGTTCCAGAGACGGGACACAAAAACAAGGGGTCACAATTGGAAGTTGAAGTTTTCAGATGAGCCAAAGAGATGTTAGGAAGTATTTTTCAGCCACAAGTTGTTAGGAAGGGGAAATGTCTGGCAAGTGATGTAGTGCAGGCAGGAACTAAACTAGTTTTTAGATAGGTATGATAAAGCTCATGGGGCAGGGAGAGGGAGGACCCAGTAGCGGTTAGTGAAGAGGCAGGGCCAAGAGCTGAGTCTCGACACCTGCAACCAAATTAGGTGAGTACACACACCACACACACATACTTTACACACACACACACACACACACCACACACACCACACACACACACACACACACGCACGCACTACACCTAGTAGGGATCAGTGAAAAGGTGGGGCCAGGAGCTGAGTCTCGACCTCTGCAACCACAATTAGGTGAGTACAAAACACACACACACACAGGCACAGCACCACACACACACACACACACACACACACACCACACACACACCACACACACACACACACACACACACACAGGCACACACACACACAAACATACACACACACACACACCACACACACATACAACACACACACCCCACACACACATACACACCACACACACACACACACACACATACACACACACATACCCACATACACATACACACACACCCACACACCCACACACACACTTAACATTATGACATGACGGAAGGGATAGACGCAGAAGTGTCACTGTTTGCAGATGATGTGAAGGTAATGAGGAGAATTAAGTCGGTCAAGGATCAGGCAGGACTACAAAGAAGCCTGGACAGGCTACGAGCCTGGTCCAGTAACTGGATCCTTGAATTTAACCTCGCTCAATGCAAAGTCATGAAGATCAGGGAAGGGCAAAGAAGACCGCAGTCAGAATATAGTCTAGGTGGCCAAAGACTACAAACCTCACTGAAGGAAAAAAGACCTTTGGGTAAGTATAATACCGAGCACATCTCCTGAAGCACACATCAGCTATATAACTGGTGCAGCATACGGGCGTCTGGGAAACCTAAGAATAGCTTTCCGATACCTCTGTAAGGAATCATTTAAGATTCTGTACACCATATACGTTAGGCCCATACTGTAGTATGCAGCACTAGTCTGGAACCCACACCTCTTCAAGCACATCTCTAAGTGCAAAAGTTTAAAGTTTGCAGCAAGGCTAGTTCCAGAGCTAAGATGATTGTCCTACTTAGAAAGGTTAAGGAAAATCGGGCTGACGACTTTGTAGGACATGAGGGTCAGAGGAGACATGATAACGACGTATAAAATACTGCGAGGAAATAGACAAGGTAGACAAAGACAGGATGTTCCAGAGAGGGGACATAGAAACAAGGGGTCACAATTGGAAGCTGAAGACTCGGATGAATCACAGGGGTGTTAGGAAGTATTTCTCCTTGTATAGCCTAGAAAGTGACGTAGTGGAGGCGGAAACCATACATAGTTTTTGGACGAGGTTTGATAAAGCTCATGGAGTAGGGAGAGAGAGGACCTAGTAGCAGTCAGTGAAGAAGTGGGGTCAGGAGCTATAACTCGACCCCTCCAACCACAAATAGGTGAGTACCAATATATATAATTATATGCTCATCTGTGTTGAAAACAATGAAGGAATGTCGAAGTGTTCATCGTGTTAACCAAAATATTTATTTCATAATTTATTAATAACACATTTTTTTGTGTTTTTGTAACAAGCAGCAGCAATGAAATTTCATCTTGCATTCAAATTTGATTATAAATTTATACATATGTTTTATGTTCCAGAAGAAAACTGATCAGACTACCAGTCTGGAAAATGCAGATTCAGCTGGACAGCAACTACTGTCAGATATGTTCCAGGAACAACATGAGTTACAGGTGAGGTAACTTTTCTATCCTGTAGTTACTTTAATAATTATCTCAGTGTAAGGTAACAATTGCATTTTGTATAGTATGTAATATGTTTACATTATTTGTTACCGCTACTGAGGTTGAGGGAAGATTAACTAAAAAAATACTGAGACTGATGGAAAATTTACTTAGAAAAACTATTGAGGTTGAGGGAAAAATTACTAAGAAAAGCTACTGGCGTTGAGGGAAGATTTACTTAGAAAAACTACTGAGGTTGAGGGAAGATTTACTAAAAAAATATTGAGAATGATGGAAGATTTACTTAGAAAAACTATTGAGGTTGAGGGAAAAATTACTAAGAAAAGCTACTGAGGTTGAGGGAAGATTTACTAATAAAAACTACTGAGGTTGAGGGAAGATTTACTAAAGGAAACTACTGAGGTTGAAGGAAGATTTACTAAGAAAAACTACTGACGTTGAGGGAAGATTTACTGAGAAAAACTACTGAGGATGAGGAAAGATTTACCGAGAAAAACTACTGAGGTTGAGGGAAGATTTACTGAGAAAAAAAATACTGAGGTTGAGGGAAGATTTACTGAGAAAAAAACTACTGAGGATGAGGGAAGATTTACCGAGAAAAATACTGAGGTTTTGGGAAAGATTTACTGAGAAAAACTACTGAGGTTGAGGGAAAATTTACTGAGAAAAACTACTGAGGTTGAGGGAAGATTTACTGAGAAAAACTACTGAGGTTGAGGAAAGATTTACTGAGGGAAAAAATACTGAGGTTGAGGTACAGGGCGCTGAGGTAGAAGGTGGTAGCCACTGACGGTGACGGGACACACCAAGTAATTTCTCTCAAACTTTAATAAAAAGAAGCCAGGTTGCTCACAGATAATGTGCTTATTTAAACTTTTAATACTGAATTAAACTGTTATACTTCGACAATCGTTCATCACAACTTAAATATAGATCATATATTTTTACTTTTGATATACCTTGGATGAGATTCAAGAGTCTTTCTACTTCAAGAACCAGACCATGAGTTTGGCTCGTCTGGTGCTAGCCTGGTCAACCAGGCTGTTGCTTCTGGATGCCCACTGCCCAACATATATAGCATTCTCTAGTCTGGTTGATCTAACACTTGTTGAAGGTACTTGTCCAGTTTCCTCCTGAAGAGTTCAACACTTGTTCCACAAGTATTTCTAATATCTTGTGATGGGATGTTGAGTAATCTGGAACCCCGGAAGTTGATACAGTGTTCCATTATTATGTCCACCACAGCCCTGCTTTTCACTCGCTTTATTTTGCACTTCCTCCCATATCTCTCTTTCCAGTTTATTGCAGTGGAAGTGAGCAGATTTGAGACCAGGCTCTCGAGTGCTTTCCGGATATATAATATCATGTATTAGCATCCTATCTCTAGTGCAAGAAAAAAAACACTGCCTCAAAAAATGACCTTGAACTAGCAAAGGTGCTTCTGGTTGCGCAATAAAGATATAGATCTTTGGGCAGGTACCAGAAAGGTACTAAGGAGGGTAATAAATAATAAAAATAAATAAGAAAATCAAGATGAACTCTTGGACAGTCTAACAAAGATATATAAAACATGGGAGGAAGAGAGAGGAGGATTGAACCAAAAAATGCAGAATGCCCATACTACAACCCATACCACAACAGATGACACGAAACTATATAGTCACCCACTGAAAAAAACACAGGAAACAAAAATGTCAGTTAACCCAACCTTTTTCCCCCACACAGTGCTAACCCAGACCAATCCCCCAGTCCAAGCGCCACTGCCCACAGCGCTGGTGCCGGCCCAGGCTCAGACCCCAGCACCAATGCTGACTAAGTGCCAGTCCAGACACTGCTAGGAACTCTACAACAGATACCACTGATACCTTAAATATATCACCATCAATGCACAAGATCATAGCCCAAGTTACAGATGTAGTGGAGGAGTCTTCTTCTGGGGAAAGTAGTTCCCCGGAAGTAGGACGGGGTGGCCCTGGCTTGGATACTGAGGAATATAGTGCAATCCTAGAAACTGCACAAACTGAGAACACACCTACCGAAAATTTTACCCAACCAAAAGCGAAATTGTGCAAATTCTATGTTTGGGGCAGCTGTAAGCATGAAATATCAGGAAAAACAAATGGGACATGTAACTCTGAGCATCGCAAAAAATGTCATGACCTGTCTGAAGAAGTGCATCGTTATCCCTCCTGTAAATTCTTTCACCCAGAAATGTGCCACTCTTCGGTCCTCCAAGAACAGTGCTACAACACAAGTTGCCCTGCATACCATCTAAAAGGGAGCAGGAGGTACAGACCTCACAAGACAAACAATAGTAGTTATCACAACCCCACTCCAAGTGATTTTTTAGTGACAGGAAACGAGAAAAGGCAATGGAAGGAAATACCAAAAATAGTCCACCTTGGAGCATTGTTGGACGGAGGCACAGCCCGTGGCCTCTCAAGGCACTCCAGAACCACAACTACTGATGCCAATTACAAAATCCCCCCTACAAACACAAAATACACCCTCATTCATATTTGCTAATACATACCAGGCCTTACTCCATCCACCAACAACAAATTTCATTTTATCAGTGGACTACTAGAGAAGTCAAATGCGATCCTTGTTGCCTTCTCAGAGACCCACACAAAAGATCACTTTGATAAAAAATATTGATAAATGGGTACAACGTTTTTAGAAGTTACAGAAAGAACAACAAACAAGGGAGAGGGGGTTGGCCTGTATGTCGAAGAGTCGCTCATCTGCACGGAGATGCTGAACACCACAAATGATGCAGTTGAAGTTCTAACAGTGAAGATCGAGAATCAAAACCGAGCCATCGTGGTTGTATATAAGCCACCAGATGCACTTTCCCAACAGTTCCAGGAACAGCTACTGCAATTGATTACTGTCCGGAAAGCCTTCCAGCTCTTTCCCCAAACATATTACTGCTTGATGATTTCAACCTTAGGCATACAAAATGGAAGAATGTAGTTAATGTTATAGTAAAAACAATCCCTGGAGGCAGTGCTGGTGAAAGGTCACACATGTGAGCTACTAAATCTCTGCGATAAACCCACCCTAAGTCAGCAGATAGTGAAGCCAGCAAGACTGGAAAACACATTTGCAGTGGCGGCTCATGTATAGGCACTGCGGAACTGTAGCACCCCGTATTTTCACTTGATTTTGTCGATAACATTCAATCTAATGAGTCTTTTTTCTTTAATTCTTTTACATTACATAATCCTTAAGCTTAATGTCAGTAACCTTCCCCTAGTACATGAAAATATTACAAAACTCCATGTATGGAACTGTGCGCTTCACAGTTCCAGCGACTTATTTTTTGGCTGTTGGACGCATGCGCACATGTCCGAAATAAGACGCTGATGCTAGGTAGAGAGAGCACCATCGCTGATGCAGACCGACCCTGTTGTGCAAGTGAAAGGTAGTGTTTCTTTTTTATTCAGCTGTGTGTGTTGTGCTTATAAACCTTGTACCATATTCTTAAATGTGATAAAGTGTAGAATTAAATGGTTATTATGCTTCCAGCTATATATGCTTGTTTCACTTTACACATTAAAACAATGGCTAAAAAATTTCTGAGGCAGCACCTCCGCTAATTTTAGCAACGAGCCGCATCTGCACTTAAACGTATTTTCACAAATAATGAGGACCTGGTAAGAGACATAACAATATCAAAAACAACTAATTCCGATCACAATCTAGTTGAAGTTCAGACTTACATGCACAGTGGTCCTGATCAGCAAATGCACGTAACTGTGAAGGTGTCTTCGCCAAATACAACTTCAACAACACGAACATTAAGATATCTTCCCAACATGTTTCATTTAAGGCATGGTTCTCCTGCACCACATGGATCCAAACCAGTGCCTTGAAAGGATCAACTTCCTGGCAGTTGAAGTTGTTCAAGGCACATTCCCATAAAAAAGGAGAAGAGAAGAAATAAATTGGAGAAAGATGCTCCTTCTACAGAAGACGACGAAGAAACACCGAGTTTCTCAAGAACGCTAGATTATCTGACATGCGGAAGGAAGCACTGACCAGGGAATTGGAAAGTATCGCACTTAAGATAAAGGACTCTTACACGAACCAGGAGAGACAGGAGGAACTGAAAGCAATTAGTAAAATTGAAAGAAATTCGAAATATTTCTTTTCATATGTCCAAAACAAGGCAAATACCACATCTATTATCGGGCCCCTACTCAGACAAGATGGGACTTACACAGATGACAACAAAGAAATGAGTGAAGGTCTGAAATCCAATATGATTATTGTTTAGCAAACCCTCTAATCAGTGTTAAAGATCGGCAATTCCAAATGATTTTTTCATGAAATTGCCTCAAACCCACCAATGTTTGCCAGATTTTAGACTTACCCTAACTCCAATAGACTTTGAGAAAGCCATTGACAAAATGCCCATGCACTTACCCCCAGCCCTGACTTGTGGTTGCTTTGTTTTCATTAAGAACTGAAAAGAAACCCCTTTCGTGTTGCCCTAAGATACTATGGAGAAGGAGTTTTGGTTCGGTGGAAATTCCACAGTCACTAAAAAACAATGATAAAGCCCACTCCATAAAGATCGCAGCAAAGCATTAGCTATAGAACAATAGCTCTAACGTCATAAAAATCTTTGAAATAGTGTTAAGAGCAGAACGTAATCTTGGATTCCAAAAAACTGCACAACCTGAGTACATGAGTTCAAGCAGGTCACTTCTGCCTCTGGTTTTGGATGCACTGGAAAGAAAAAACAGAATGGATGTAATATACACAAAATTCTCCAAAAGCTTTGACAAGTGCGATGATTGGCTAATACAAACACAAAATACGTGCTAAAGGATAATGGCAAAGTGGGAGGGGAAAATCTTCAACTTCCTAACAAGAGCACAAGGATAGTGTATATCCAACACTGTAAGTACAACTACGTTTTCTTAGTATAAGTACCCAGAAGGATAAGAGGTTTGGTACTTATCCCTTACCCTCGAGTT